TTTTTTTTTTTTTTTTTTTTTTTTGAGACTGAGTCTCATTCTATTGCCCAGGCTGGACTGCAATGGCATGATCTCAGGTCACTGACAATCTCTCCCTCGCAGGTTCAAGCGATTCTCCTGCCTCAGCCTCCCAAGTAGCTGGGATTGCAGGCACCTGCCACCATGTCCAGCTAATTTTTGTATTTTCAGTAGAGATGGGGTTTCACCAGATTGGCCAGGCTGGTCTCAAACTCCTGACCTCAAATGATACACCCGCCTCGGGCTCTCAAAGTGCTGGGAATACAGGCATGAGCCACCGTGCCCAGCCACCAGCTTTAATCAAAATAAGGCACTCTTTTTGTTTCTTCTGAAGTTTCCTATAGCACCGGGTGACGTCAGCAGCACTGGCCAGTGTGGAGTTCAGACTCACGGAAAGATGACCTTCCACACGGTCAGGGCAAACACGTGTACGTGGCACACCTGGGGTGCAGGTTCCAAGCACTTTGCATACATTAACAACTCACATAATTCTCTTCCCATGTGTGGCAGGAGGAGGCTCATGCATGCCACCAGCATCCCCGCATCCCAGGGGGGAACTGAGGGGTCATGTCTAAAGTCACACCCCACTCAGGGACACAGCCAGGATTCCAATTCTTTCTGCCCAGAGCCCTCATCTTTCCCTCCCTTACAGTGGACACCTGTACAATTAAGCAATTATCAAAATCTGCATTTAGTTGGAAAAAAAAAAAAGACTAACATAGTTTTAATAGCATACTTTATTTTAATCTAAGAAAAATGATTAAATTCAAAGGTCAGAAATACAAAAGATTATCCAAAAAGTTTAGGATCATAACTGTTTCTTAAACAACATTGGCATGTACTTGAGCTGGTTCTGTGGCTCCAAAGGCTTGATTTTTACCTTGCACAGTTTAAATAAGGAAGAAGCCTTATGCGATGCTCCACAAGCATCCGAACCTCACAAACGTCATTCTACAAGGCACGTCTCAGGGGATTTGGGGCCTCGAAGATGTTTCTCCAACCAACAGTCTGAGCCGAGATAGAATCACATTGAAGTTTCCACTCTCAAACTGTCCTCCAAACGGTTCCTTACAGACAGAGGGCGTCCTGAGCTCCGGGCCCAGGCCTGAGCGGGGCAGCTGGCTGTGCACGCAGGCCAGTTCCGTTGGTCACCGTGTGGGCATTCCACTCCTATCCTTCTCTGCCAGTGCCACTCAGATGAATTTCCCATTGGCAAGTTCTCGTACCCTTGATGCGTTCAGAAAAGCAGAAAGGAACTGTGGGGACCCGCAGGCACTTCTCCCCGGCTGCCAACACCAGCCCAGGGGGCACCATGGATCCGGCTGTGCCTTCAGTAAGGAGACTGCTCATAATTGGTTCAGGTGAAGACTTTACCTTACGGTAGCCCTGGGGTGGACCAGGTAGGAGGATCGTGTAGGAGAAAAACCAAGCAGACAAGCCTGTTAGCCAGCTCGGTCACACCGTGGCTGGCCTTACATTTTGAAAGGATGGGCCCCTCCTAGGCAGCCTCCCACCATCAGGACGACTCTCCAGGACTCGCTCGAGCCCCAGGGCAAAACTCAAACAGAAGCTTCAAATGGAAAAGCAAACATCCTTTGAGCCAAAGTATCACACCAAAGACAGTTTGGAAATAGTACTTCCTCCAGGGGAACTACCTGTACTTAACTGGATAGCTTTAGTGGTTGCGTGATTCATTGTACGAGCAAGATCTCTGGAAAGCAAAACAAGACAAACTAACAGAAAACCCCAAGAAACAAACCACCCCCTGCATGTTAACTGCCTGAAGGGTCAACCGTACATCACAACCTTCCACGGAAATGTGGAGCTTCCAACATGATTCCACAACGCTGTAAGCACAGCCGTCTGGAAGTGACTGCAGGGGTTAGGGAAAGCCATAGGATTGCAACCAGAGTGCCTAGAGCTCTACTGTTAACATGTGGAAGGCAAAGAAATTAAGCCTAAATGCATTCAAATACATCTCCACCACATACAGATTTCCAAGGTCAAAGGAGGACACATACATTGTATGTGATTAATTTTCTGAAGCCAGCTCTTCTCCATTTTCACAGATTAAAACAGTCTGTTTAAATATCTCATTTCTACAAAGTGAATTTACATTTAAAGTACAAAGTGCAAATACTATGTGTTTCTGTTTTTGTTTTCTTAATTGCTCGTTGGTGAGGGAATTTCCCACGTGTCTAGGAACTGCCTTCGCTGTGTGAGCCATTTATCCTTGTTTCCTTGGCTGAAAAGAAAAGACAAAAAAGAGACATTATATTCAGAGGTGGGTGTCACTCATCTGAGAAGACTAAGTGGCTTCCGGGAATGAACTGAACCAAAGAGGGCTGGGCAGGTCGTGTGAGGTGTAAGGATGAATGAGAAACGATGAAGACTGGGCAGGTCGTGTGAGGTGTAAGGATGAATGAGAA